TCGCGCAATAGACTCGACGGCACATCGATCGACGGGAACGAAGAATCTTGGCTCTCGACTTTCGAAGTATCGGATTTTCCCTATAATCACGCGGATAAGGCGACGCAGCACTTTGAGAAAGAAATCTGTACTATCACGAGGTTCGATTCGATTGGTAAAGACCAGTCGTTCTTTCCAAATATCTGCGAGAAAATTACGGCTTCGACTAAAGATTGGAAGGGGCGGTTGGAGTACCACCGAGAGAAATTGGTAAAATCGAAATCGAAGCCACGCGTTTTTGAATTAGAGAAGCTGAAGGAAGATAGCAAGGAGAGTGAGGCGTTGGACAAAACAGGTCCCTCGACGCATAAACTCTCACACTTGAGGTAGAGTTCGTTGATATTTTCTCTCTCATTCATTTAAACTGACTTTTTAAACTCATTTAAAGTTTACAGTACCCGCAACTTGGCTAAAGTGATTACGAGTACAACCCAGTCGGCGAGGTTCGACTCTCTTTCTTTTTTCTTCTTTCTTTCTTTCTTTCTTTTTTTTTTTTCTTTTCTTTGCCTATTTTTCCAATTAAAGTCATGTACTTTAAAAAAGAAGAAAAAAAAAAGGAAAAAAAAAAGAAAGACAAAAAGAGTATTATTATGTGATTATTTGCATTGATTAAGCAAAGCACGACATAGATACGTAAGCCGTTTATACGTCATTGTCAATTCAACATTGTGTTCGAATTATAATATGTGTTTAATTAAAAGTAATTTGAATTAACGATTACGATCGATACTTGATGATTAGCTATGTGAAAACTTTTACGGTCGCTCGGTCTTTCATTAATTCAAATTCGAATTTTATGATTTTAATTTAATCGAATTTTCCATCTTCCTTAAACCTTTTTAAGCTCTTTGCTCAACGCTACTATTAATTATTACAATAGCATTACGTCTACAAGTACCATTATACTTATAGTTTATTGAAAATTACGACAAGACAATTTTACTAAAATACTGCTTTCCAAGTATTCGTAAATGCGCTTTAAAAATGTCGTTCTACTGCAATTCTCTTAAATAATGCATTTCTTGTTCTAGAATATTGACTGTGCCATTGTTTTTGAAAGCATAATGAAATTAACTTGTGTATGTTTGTTTGTATGTACGTATGACGTAGAAGTTTACTCGAAAGTACATTTACGTTAACGGCAAAAGTCACTTGGGTATTCATTAAAATATTCATTCATTCGCCTATCATTGGAGCATACGTGTTTGCGCTATTTGTATAAAATGCCGCAACTCCCAGTCTACCATATTGTAACAATAATCATTATAGAAAGGATGTTGGTGGGTAGGCGAAGGAGGATCGCTGTATTTTATGGAGTAGAGAAATTTTGTCTGTTTGCTTTGAAGCCTTTTACGTCGGAGCTTCGAGCGTCTACCCCGAACTGATTGGAACAGCTACGGTCGCAGACATCCAGACTTTTCTATGATTCTTAGAGATAGAATGTAAGTTTTCCATGCATCATCAACTGTCCAGACAGACACGCGCTGTCCCGTCAATTAATTGTGGCTTATCAAGCATGATTTCGTTACAGCACTTACTGTTTCAGTACAAATTGGCACGATGCATATTTTCATTATTCACTTTGTAAGTGAAGATTGGTTCGGACAGTGTATGTTTACTCTCGTCCAGCACTTCTATTTCTGCACGTTACGTATGAATATATAAATCATACATTTAATGATTATATGTTTAAACAGTTATTTTCAGACACCGCAGACAAGCCCATTTATTATCATGCACATTATATTCTTTACTGATTTTTAAAAACTTTATTTTCATGCCTATTATTTTTAAGCCAAGGTCTTGACATTACAGAATTTCATTAACTGCGTATCGATAAAAAATACAATAATAACAAAACAAAAAACAAGCAAAAAAAAAAAGACAAAAAATAAAATAATAAGAAAGAAAATGAAAAGAAAAGATAAAAAGAAAAAAAGAAAAAAAGAAAAAAAGAAAAAATGAAAAAAAGCTACATATACGTGCGCACCCTGCACGTACGTGCACAGTATTATGTTTTTGCCAATGCTTACGTCACGTAATGCAAGTACGTGTGCGCATGCCTTAAATAGAAACATTACGGCCAACGTTAGCCTCAATTCGTAAAATTTTGCTATTTTTTGAAAATTCAAATGTTCCATCGCGCTTAATTTAATATCACTTTGGTCTTTCCATTATTTTGATAAGCTGATAAACAAATTCAAACACTCGACAACGTATGCATACAGATTTGCTCGGTGCTCGAGCCTCTCCATTTACATTCTTTACATTCGAAATTCTCAAGATAACTACTATTAGCTTTTATTGCCATTCTCATCCGGGAGATAATAATTTCAAATTTACTTCTTATGATTAATTCAATAAACTTAATTTGCATCATAATGATACTCTCGAATCGTAATATGTACGTACCTCTTCTCCACCACTACTTGAGTACTTAAAAGTTATGGATCGGTAAAAGAAATTTGAAATTTTCAATACGGAAAAAGAAAGCTAAGCTCACAGTCCTCCAAACAGGCTAACAAAGAGTGTAAAAGAAATGAAAAAAAAAAAAAAAAAAAAAAAAAAAAAAAAAAAAAGTTATAAAGACAAAATACTAGATTATGATTTTTTTTTTATGTTTGTTTATTTTTTTGCTTTTCTTTCTTTTTTCTTTTTCATTAAAATTTATACGAATGGCCTTTTACAGTGGTATCAGTAAGGACTACGACCCGTTCCTCTTGGCCGAGCAACAGCTGAACGACCTCTTCTCGGACACGAGTGACCAATCGTCCACCGACGGCTCCTCGATCTGCCCCCCGCGCAAATCCTCCTCCAGTCCCAATAACCCCCTCTCTCATTCCTCAGCATTCGCTAAATATCCAGGCGGCGTTCAGCCGACATCCTCGTGCATCCAGACCCAGCATCAGCCGCAGTCCCAGCAATCCCAGTCTCAGCCTCAGTCTCAGTCTCAGTCTCAGTCTCAGTCTCAGTCTCAGTCCCAAGCGCAGCAACAGCATCAGCATCAGCAACGGGGCTCTCTGATAGCACCCCCGACGGGCTTCGACGATCAGGCATCCTCGGACTTGTCGAGCGACTGCGGCGAGAGTCACTCGCGCGAGCCTCCGAGCTCCTCGTCGGCCTCGAACTCGCTTGGCGGCCACGTGCTGGGCCGGCGGCTTATAATCGATCAGAGCCAGGCGCTGGGCGGCGGTGAGTTCGCTCCGGAACAGCGGCCCTCGCGGATCAGCAACGCCACGAGGCCCGGGCCCGGCCGCCCAGGTCCCAAGCCACCCGAGAGGAAGATCTCGAGTAGCTCCTCCTCGGGTAGCTCGGACTTTTCGCGCGGCTGCAAGCCCAGGGCCTCGCTGAGCAACGGCACGGCCCAGCCGCGAGCCGGAAGCGACTTCAAGAGCCTCAACGGCAGCAACCTCAGCTTGAGCTCCATCGTGTCCAGCACGGATATGGAGATCAAGCGCTCGAACTCGCTGTTGGACGAGCTCCTGAGCACGTTCGAGGACGAGGGGAGCTCGACCCCGACTCTGCCCTCCCTCATGACCCTCGTGAGAAACGACACGTCGCTCTCTTTATTGTCTAGCGTGTCCCAGTCACAGAACGGCGTCAACGGACATCAGCAGCGGGCCCCGACCAACGGCAGGATCAACTGCAGCGACGACGACGGTGACTCGTCCTCACCCGAGAGCATCAAGAGGCAGGGCTGCGGTAGCAAACTCAACGCCGACTCCGCTTACAGCAGGTACGGCCCCCCGTCAGTCCCCAGAGTCCCCGTAATTGTCGAGTTGCTCTCTCGATTCGGAGCGTGTTGGTCGTGGTGGTGTTGGTGGTGGTGTTGGTCGTGATGGTCGTGATGGTCGTGATGGTCGTGATGGTCGTGATGGTGGTGGCGGTGGTGGCGGTGGTGGCGGTGGTGGTGGGGTGTAGTGGGGTGTGGTGGTGGGGTGTAGGAGGGGGGGGAGGGAGGAGAGATTTCTTTTATTCGTCGTGTCTCCTTTAATAATCTCTCCTTTCAAGTCGACTCTTAAATCCCCCGATCGAGTAATCGTTTCGAACATGGAGACGCTTAGTGCAAGCCTCGGCAGCTTGTCAACCGACAAACATCGCGCGTTCGATAATCGCGATAATCTTGGCTCTGAGAGATCGCGTCATTCGCTCGTAGCAGTGACACGAAAATTATCTTCCCACCATCCATACGGCGCGCATTCATTATCGAAGGACGCCTCGTGACAGTATTGGATAAAACTCGTTTCGCATACAAAACGACGCAACAGCAAACTTATGCAATTACTCACGGGACTAGCAAATATTGCACGAGTAGGCAAAATATTCATTTTCGGCAAAGGCGCTTGTCGCTCGTAAAACCCCCTGCTCGACTAATAAATGTCCGTAACTAACAAATCGAATGGTCAACGCAATATGGAACATATTGTCCGATAATAAATACACGATGGAACGCATAACATTATCCTTTGTTAAATTTATGTTAAATGAAAGCTTAGCTTGAAAACTTAATAAACAATCGAGATATCCGAGACTTATCGAAATATGGGGCTCCTCGAATTTCATGCTCGAAGCATAACGAGCGGGACGGTGAGCCGATTGCCTCGCGTAAACATTTTCTAAAATTGCGACTAACAATGTTTGGATTGAAAGTGGTGGTGTTTGGCAACCGAGAGTCGCCACTGCGCCCGTATAAGTCGATAAACGAGCTCTTAAACACGGCTCCGTGAAAGTCTCGTGACACAGGTGTTCTCTTTATTTTTGCTCCGCAGTCTGAATCGCAAACAATCGAGCCACGGACGCAGCGCAAACGAGTTGAACAGCAGCAAATTCAAGATGTCGAAATTCTGCCACGAGTGCGGCTTCAAGTTCCCGGATTTGGCTAAGTTCTGCTGCGAGTGCGGCGTCAAGAGACTCACCCTCTGATATTCCGTCCTCCGGAGCTTTCTGCCAGCGATTCCTACAACCGTGGGAGAAAGCCCGAGACAGAAAGAGCAACAGCAGCAGCAGCAGTAGCAGCAGCAGCAGCAGCAGCAGTAGTAGCAACAACAATAGCAAGAGCAGCAGCAACAATAACAACGACGACGACAACAACAACAACAACAACAACAACTACTACTACTACTACTACTACTACTACTACTACTACTACTACTACTACTACTACTACTACTACTACTACTACTACTACTACTACTACTACTACTACTACTACTACTACTACTACTACTACTACTACTACTACTACTACTACTACTACTACTACTACTACTACTACTACTACTACTACTACTACTACTACTACTACTACTACTACTACTACTACTACTACTACTACTACTACTACTATTACTACTACTACTATTACTACTACTACTACTACTACAGCAGCAACAAAAAAAAACAGCAACAACAACAATAAGCACGATGCGACAATCTCTCGATGCAATATATCTGTCAAATCGTTTGGCCGTTTGCTGACAGCAATACATGTCAAATCGACGTTTAATAAAGAACGCGAGCAGCAGGATTATGTGTGAGAATGAGAGTGAGAGAGAGAGAGAGAGAGAGAGAGAGAGAGAGAGAGAGAGAGAGAGAGAAACAGGCATTTATTAAAAATAAAGAGTATGACCAGATGACAACGAATCGACATTAGCCTTTATATTTTTAAATCCGATAGAAAAAGAAATGATTCTATTTAAAAAAAAAAAGGCTAGGGAGGAGTGGTGAAGGGGCCCGGGGGCGGCGTTAATAGGGGGTAGGGAGGGTCGCTCGATAGGCTTAACTAAAATTAATAATATTCGATTGTCGCTGCGGGAAAATTTCATATATTAGATTTAATTCAGTGCTTATTACTTTAAAACATAATGGAAAATAATAAACGAAGTTTATTAAGGGTTTGCTTAATTAATCATAAAACATCGAGTAAAGAAAACGAGTAGTCTTTAAAATCATATTTTTAGATAAATTTCAAAGTGCCTGCCATTGGTAGTTTTATCTCTGGCGACCTTAACAAATGTAAGAATAAATAATATTTTCTCAAATCAAACAATATCTTATAATAATATATATAGAAGGCTTAGTTGGGTGAACTCTTCTTCAAACTCAGTTCTTTATTTTATCGCGTAATATTTGTGCGCTTAATACCTCAATTTTTTTTCAAACAATGCTTATTTTCAATGTAAATAAAAAAATAAAAAAAAGAAAAAAGAAAAAAAATAAATTGAAACACATGTATTGTTATGATTTTGTCATCTGGAGAAACGACAAATGAATCAAGTGCATTTACAAGTTATTATTTGTTTTTTTTTTGTTTTTTTGTTTTTTTGTTTTTTGTTTTTAAATAACCATAACAAAAGCTTTTCCACGGAGCGAATGAAAAATGTTTTTTCTATTTACTACTACTTAATATCTATATGATAATTCTGGCGTTCCTTGCTGTATAATTTATCAAAGTATTATTGTTTATCGCTCCGTTCCAAAGAACATAATTGACGCATAAAGCATGTACCGCTACATCTTACGCGAATGAAATTTAAATCCCATTATTCTTATATATTATTAAATGAGTTTGTATGCCCGTTGTTTTTATTTGCATTAGCTCCCAACAAAGATGTCAATTGACAATAATGTGTAGCAACAAGTGGCTAAGTTGACATGTTCGCCAAACACAGCGATGGTTTATCCGTACACAACGAGCTGCAATGGCACCGAACAGACTTATCCGTTTTGCCATAAATAACATTTTTACAGCAAGCGTTTATTTTAAAAATAATAAACCTTTCATAGTCGAGACTCGGTTTGCTCACGTCACAATAATTCACAACACACGTACACAATCACTCATACTAAATATCATGAAATTGCACATAGTATTGAATAGAAGGAGAACCCGATATTTTTTATTATGGACTAGCACGCGTCATATTTCTACGATCTTTATTATTATTATGATAAGCGTATCGCAGCTGATTTGGCAATTAATTTTTAAATTTCAATAAATTGATACAATCCTCGCTTGTCGCCGCAGGAATATAAAAAACGAGATTTCTTCGATTTCTTGAACATTGAGAAGACTGAACGCGCAATTTATCAAATACGTGTGCAATTCGCCAATTTACCCAATAACTATTATACATTACGTATAGGTCTGCAATGCACTATACTTCGTTGGAACTTCTTGCTATTATACGTATAAATCGCCATACTAATTGAGTTAATTAATTTATAATTTATAATATAATCAGCTTAAGAAGGCAGATAATCGGCTACATCACAGGGTCAGGCGAGAGTATATTAACGGATGCACCTATCTCCATATAGATTAGATGCACAAAAATGAATATTTATTGTTTTGTTTTTTTTTTTTTTTCTTTTTTTTTTTTTATTTTTTCTTCGTGGAGATCATTAAATTATTGTTGAGATGCTTTATTTATTGACGTTTTGCTTATCGTGATTTATTTATTTTTTTTTTTTTTTGTTATTAAGATGTAACTCATTGCTATTACTATGAATACGTAATCGGTTGTTCGGATGAACTTTGATTGATGAACATTCATTCATTTCCAATCTAATAAATAAATTATTTATTAGATCGTATCATCTGCTCGGATATTATATTACAAAACTAGTAGTTTTAACATAAAGTTTTTCAATACAAACATTAATTTACTTTTATTCACGACTTTTAATACGAATTAATACAAAGTTTCCTCCCTACGATTAAAGTAACGAGAATTCCCTTTCATTCCTAGCATTATATATTTTTATATTTAAATATTTAAATATTTGTTCATATTCCGTGCTTAATCTTGAAAATTCAATTATTAACAGGAAATAATTATTGATTGAGCGTGTAAGCAAAATTTTTAGCCTTAATACATTAAAGTATAAGAATGAAATTGAGTGAGCGAAAATTATTTTTGCGTTTTGTTTGACTAATAATTTATTCAAATCCAGTCACTTGGAATACTACTTTCGTAGTATTATAATAAGCAAGAATCATGTTTTTATTTTTATTTCTATTTATTTATAGACTATGAATGTAGTGAGAAAATTTTCGAAAATTCTTCAAAGCCAACAATGATATGAAACTGCTTAAAATATGCAAAGTATTATCAAGATTATTATTTACGTTAATAAATATTATAATACAGTTATTTTTATTTTTAATATGAATTTAATTTAAAGAGTAAAGAAACTTATAATTGTTATTAAACGATTGTTGAAATTCAACTGGTAAAATAGCACAGTGAGTAAAAGCAAAGTTTGTTTAGACAACCTAAAATCGTGCTACTTAGCGAAAAAAATTTTTGCAACTGTTTAAAAAAAAAGAAAAAAAAACATACAAACAAACAAACAAGCAAACAAATAAAAAGAAAAATAAAAAAGAAAAAGAAAATAAAATGAAGATTTAGATGAAACTTCACATGCATTTACGTGAAAGACATTATTAAGGATAATTAGCGAGCGATATTTTATTTTTATTGTGTTATGTAGAAATATAAATGTCATAGAAATATTAGTTGAAAGTACGAGAATAATTAGCACTAAAATAGCATAAACATTATTTATAATCGTACAATCGTAATTATTACATTTGACTTGTCATTCGATGAAATGTATTTTTGCAAGTGCAATAAAAACATGCTTGTATTTATATAAAACGTTGTTTTATGTTATTTTACTTACAAAAATTAATAAGCTAATAAGTTGAAATTAGAATAGTCTTGTGAAATGTTTAAGCAAAGATGAAAGTGATTTATTTTCAATTTTTATTGAATTCATAGGTAGAAAAAAGTCTGGAATAATAAATTTAAAGAATAATGCATCACCGAGCGTCGATATGTTAATATTAGCTCTGGAGAAAAATAAAAGAAACAATTGTAAAATTTATAATAACGTGAATAATTCTAAAGTAATATATTGGAATATCGATATTGATCGTGGTTATACCAATGTGTATATTTATTTATTAAGAGTGAAAATATCGTCGTTATCGAAAAGAAAAATGCAGCTGTTTTTTAGTGCAAACCAATGCATTTACCTTATCGCAACGTGCAATAGTTATGAGAAAAAGATTTTACGATTATTCTCAAAATATCTTGTCGATCCACGCGTAAGTATCATCAAATTTCTTAGTTCAATTAATAAATGAACGTAATAAATAATAAAGAATAAATAATAGACTAAATAATAAATGAATCAATAAATTGAAACTTCTAAATATGTTGACAAATTTAGCCTGTTTCTTGTGTTCTTCTTTTTTTTTTTTTTTTTTATATTTCTTCACAATTCAAGATCCTTAGTTCGTAGTGTTGAAATTGCTTATTTTTAACAGGTCGCTTCAACAAAGTACAAGTCTGAGCGAAAGATAGATAATATAAGTGCTCGTGGATTAAATTAGCAAGATTGATCTGTGTGTAATTTGAATAAATCATTTGATTGATCGATCAATCGATCGATGCCACGATCCTTGATGAATGAATAGAAGAATAAAATCTTGTATTAAGCCATGGAAACTTTGAGGGAACGAAAGGCGGTTTCAACAAACTTACGCAATCTTATGCACAGAGCACTTTTCAATGTACCGTAAAGTTTATTATTCAAGTGCATTAGAGGCGTCTCGCGAGCTACGTTCCCGGAAGCCACGGAAGCTCCCCTGGGTGACGCCCCGTTAACAATGTTGGGCTCCCGCGTAGACGTAACCGCGGCTCTCCGGTCCGTTGTGCGCTGCAACGTGGGACAGGATGTGGGAAGTCGGGAGAATGGTTGACGAAGGGACCGCAAGAGCTCGTCTGTGCTCGTTTGCTAGAGGCGTCGAAATACGCAAAGGGCCATGCGAGTGCGACTCCACTCATTTCGCTAATTCCGCTTTTACGTAATGAGGCTGAGCCAAGTTACGCTTCGTGGTTCGCGCTCTTCCTTCCCTCGGGTCTTCGACCCTTTCTCACACAGAATAATA